TGGAACTGTCATTTAACCCGGTGATCCCACTTCTAGGAATATATCCTAAGAAACCATAAACACCACTTAGAAAGAATATAGGCACCCCTATGTTCATAGCAGCACATTTTACAATAGCTAAGATTTAGAAACAGCCCACGGGTCCATTAGCAGATGAGTGGATAAAAAAAAACTGTGGTACATTTACACAATGGAGTACTATGCAGCTTTTAAAAAGAAAGAACTCTTATATGTATGAACCTGGAGGGTATTATACTAAGTGAAATAATCCAGTCAGAGAAAGGTAAGTATCACATGATCTCACTCATATGTGTAATCTAATGCACAAAATAAACTCATGAATAAAATAGATTCAGAGACATAGAAGCATGGAACAGACTGATGATTTCAGAGGGAAGGTGGAGGTGGGAGTGTGGGAGGGGAGTGATTAACCAGGGAACTTAAATGCATATATGCATAGGCCATGGACACAGACAATAGAGTAGTGAAGGCCTGGGAGGGGCGGGTACAGGTTGTAGGGGGTCAATGGGAAAAAAAACACAAACGAACAAAGAAGACATCTGCAATACTTTCAACAATAAAGATAAATTACAAAAAAAAAGAGAATATTCACTATCGAACTAAGATAAAAACTATTACATAAGAAAATCTTCAGCACATCTAGCTCTCATGCTTCAAATCATTCTGACTTCTTCTCCTGCTCCATTATATTTTAATTTTTTCTTCAGCCTGGTTGTATTTAGTTGGTTATTTTCATAATAATTGAGTTAGTGAGTCTATCTCACAAATACTTAAACAAAATGTACCTTTGAAATGGTTTACATTTTATTTTGGTTTGGGTATAAGGAAAGTTTCGTTTAGCTTAAGGAATACATCCTCACAAAGTTCAACTTCATTGGCCCTTCTCAATATAACATTATATTGTGTTGAAATTATCTCCTCAGAACTTAATGGGCTAATTTGTACATATGAAAATGAGATTATCAACAAATATTACGTAGACCCTCACCAAGTGAAAGGTAAAACTTGAATATGTCATGAGCCTTACTACAGAAAATATATTTTGAACTAAAAAGGAATTATGATTTTAAAATGGCCTGTTGTCACTTTTATTAATTTCCTTTTGTACAATATAAAAGGTTCAGGTTTTGTCTTTAATACTGTTTTGTTCCCAAGCATATTGCTGTCCTTGGGCAGGCCCCATAAGACTAATTGCAAACTTTCTATTCCAAATCAATGTAGGGAAGGGTACTAAAATGTAATAAAGGATTTCTTTTGACAATTAAATGCTTGAGACATGATTCATTAAGCACACTACAATCTACTGCCCCTATGGGAAGCAGATTCCTGTGGTCTAGTATATTAATAAGCATTATTATATTTAATAATAAGCATTTTCAAAGAAATTGTGAAACTGAATTGATTTCTGACTAAACCCAAAACAGAATCATTGACCTAATTTCTCTTCAAGTGGAGCATTTCTTATACACCCTTAGACTTTCAAAAATACACTCTGAAATTTTCTCTTTTCATAGCACAGATGTCAGAGTGGCTTTTATAACAACTCTCTGTTCTATATTGTGAGATTCATACATAATTTTGTTAAAATGTCAACAACAACATTACTTCTCAGCCAACATAGGAATAAACACTTAAACAGATTTTAATTTTCATTGATAAACTAATTCACTGATTGTGTTTCCTCCAAAGAGCTCAAAATAAATTTAAAGACAAAAGAAATAACTGACCCTGTGATGGGATGCTCATTAAGACATCTGAAACAAACTCAGTTTTTAAATAATGGAAGAGGAAACCAAACCAACTTGTTAGATTTTTGTCTCCTAAAAAATATTAACACAGAAGTTCTGGAACCCAAATAAGTTGTGGAAGAAATCATTAAGTATGGCAAACTCAGCTATAAGAGACCTTTGTAAGCAATTTCTCAGAAAACAGCTGCAGGTATCTAGATGTTTTCCAGGTTTCCTCGGGCTCAATTATATGGAAGATTTTTTCAGTGTGTGGAAATATCCACTCATAAATATGGCTATCTAACCCCAGAAACCTCATTTATTGTTATCCTAGATTTGGGTGAAAAAACATTTTGATCAGAATATTTTACTCTCATTCTAGTCAGATATCTCTATCTCTATCTCTCTGGATCTCTGTCTCTCTCAGGGAATTCTCTAATTAGGCTAAAGATTAATATTTAACTCAAAATACTTATGGTGCCTTTAAAAAGTATCCCTAGTAATTTAAAGGGAAAGGGTTTTCAATATATAATTGATACTATACTAAGCTGGATATTTTTAATGTGGAATTAATTCCGTTACATTTAGATTGTAATACATTTACAATGTAATTAAATTTGAAGACTTAAATGGAAATTGCTGCGTTTTTATAGTAACACATTTATAGCCCAGCAAAATGAACACAGTGCAGTTACATATACAAACTTAGCATTCATTGTACAGTGATTAAAACATTAAAAGACTATAACTGTATGTTTGAATCTATAGAATTCTGCATTGTCTTAAATGATTAAAATCCCTAGTTTAATACCAAGAAATTAAAATGTTTTGTGCAGAAAGGCATCATTATTCAAAAAATTTATTTCTTAATTCTGTCTTCTAACCACAAGATCAGTACACAGAAGAAATAGATTTTAATTTCATTTTGTTGTTATTTTTGCAGAAGCATTAAGTGAAATATCCAGTATATGGCCATTTTCATGAGTGAGTTATAAATCAACCATCATAAACTCCAGCAAGTATACATTACAAGATTTATAATTTTCAGGTCCTTTGAATAAAATACAACTGGTTTGTTATAGAAATTGTTACATCAAAGGATACTACCGGCATAAACTATGATCTTGATATGACACACAAGCCTATTTAAAAGATCAAGTACTTATGTATTATATAGTTATTGAATTTATTGTTTATTTAACACATTTCATCAAAAAACGTGCACCTTTTTCATCAAAAAATATGCCAACTTGATAGTAAAACACACAATCCATGATTCAAAAGGCAGCAATTTCAAACCATTGTCTTCAGTGGTCCTTGACATAAAATACTCCAAGCATAAATTCAACATTGCATGCAAAAACTGGCCCTGTGCTTTAAAACAAGTCATCACACTGTTTACATATGTAAAAGAAAGACAACTATACATGTATCATTTTCAAAAAATCCTAGGATAAAATATAATATAACTAAAGAAAATTTTTACTAAGAACAGATTTTTCCAGAAAATTCAAAAGCAAGACACTGGAAAGCAGAATTTTGTTACAGGAACATGTCTTGTGCATATATGAATATTTAACTTAAAGCTGTAACACGTGGGTCTAAATTGCAATGCATAAAATGTAAACTTTAACACATTCTAACCATAGGATTTTTAGCTTTGGATCTTTTTAAAACTATAAGACAACTCTAAAAACCCTAAATACCAGTCAAAGTGCAAAAGAGGTCCTTCAGAACATATCCCTTTGGTATATTATAGTCGCATAGATAACAAAATTAAATAATAAAATAAACTATTAGTTAAAGAAGTGGGTGAAAATCTCTGATTATCTCTTCTCCTCTTTGGATTTTTGTTTTGTTCCTGAAAAGTTACAAACAAAATTACAGGTAAGGCTTTTACCTGTAAATGTTCAAAATAATTGATTTCCAGGTTTTTTTAGGTGGAATCTGAATGCATGCCATGAAAGACCATACTTGGAAACAAAGTAACGCTGCACTTTTCACCTGTGGGGAATGGAAGGTGTAAAGATACTTGCATGAATGAGACAAACTATAAATGACCAAGTCCACCTCAGTCCTGAGGAAATTCTGTGAATGCCATGGGCAGCATAGGATCATTCTGAGTCTTGTGCTGTTTATCTGAAATATTTTTAAGAAATATAATCTAGTCACACCACCAAAGGAAATCTTAATTTTAAAAGTCTATTAATTCTCCTTTAATTCAAGGGGAACTTAGTTTCCTTGAGTTACTCAGAGCAGCATCTACAAAATAATGAAGAAAGATATTAATATTCAAGTGACTTTTAAGACCAAAAATGTTGCCTGTGCTATGATTTCTAACACTAATAATAATGTACAAGATGGAGTCAGTTAATTTAAGGGAAAATGTGACTCATTACAGCTACATAATTGGCTTTTGAAAGTATTCCAAATATTAGCCTCTTAGATTTTATCTTATTCTAACAAGTATAAATGTATAACATTGTAAAGTGCTTGATTCAACATATGCAATGTTTCTTTGTATTTGTTTGATACTCTTCTTTTCTGGTTAGTGTTTTCTCTGCCCTACATAAGAAATTGTTAATCACTTAGCCATGAATATATTGCCTTTTTTGGTTTTATAAGTTTTATTATTCTAGCTTTTATATTTAGGTCTATGATCGAACTCAAATTAATTTGTGTGTATGGAGTGCGGTGGAGGGATGGAGGTTCATTACTTTTTCTAGATGGATATCTAGTTGCTCCAGCACCATTTGATTAAACAACCTTCCTTTTCCCATTTAGTTGACTTGGCACCTTGATTGGATGTTAATTATGTCTATGTGTGTCTACTGAAATCTCTATTTTTCTACATGACACTGTATTTACTGTAGCATTATAAGGTATTGAAATCAGGGTATGTAAGTCTTCCAAATTTTGAGATTCTTTTTAAAATTCTTTCCCTCTCTGTGTACATTTTAGAGTAAACTTGTCTATTTTTTTTTCCAAAAGGGCCTGCTGAGATTTTGATTGCATTAACTCTACAGGTGGATTTGGAGATAATTGACTTTTTAACAACTTTGAGATTTCCAATTCTTGAACATGGTATACTAGTATACCATGGGTCATTTTAAATGTATCTAAGCAATGACTTCTGATTATCAGTATAAAAGTCTTAGATGTTTGTTGTTAGACTTATTTTTATTTCATGTTTTATATTACCAATGTAAATGGTATTATTTTTTGAAATTTTATTTTTAACACTTTGTGGTATGATATAGAATTAAAATTTACTTTGTATGATGACTTTGTATACTTGGCCTTATAAAATTCATTTATTACTTCTAGTAGGGTTTTTTTTTGTGTAGATACCTAATGATTTTATACATATAAATGATCTGCTAAGCACAACAGTGTAGCCTCTTCTTTTCTAATCGTCTTGTTTATCTTTTTATTTTGAATTATGGCACTGGCTAGGATTTCCAGTATCAATGTTGACTAGAAATGGTGAGAGTGAATAATATCCTTGGCTTCTTCCAAATCTTAGAGGAAAAGCTTTCAATATTCTATCCTTAAGTATGATGTTAGCTGTGGTTTTTCACAAGTGTACATTAGCAGGTTGAGGAAATTCACTTTATTCCTAGTTTGGTGAGACTTTTTATCATGAATGGTATAAAATTTTGTCTGGTTCTTTTCTGCATTTATTGAAATGATTACATAAATTTCCCCTTCATTATGTTAATATGGTGAATTACATTGAATTTTAAGTGTGTAATACAAGTATTTAAAGCTATACATTTTCTACCTTCCTTAGCTGCATCCACAAATTTTGATATGCTCCATTTTCATCCAACTTGCAATAATTCTAATTTATCTTGTGCTTTTACTTCTTTGTCCCATGTGTTTAGATTTATGTCATTTAATATCCAAATTTTAGGGATTATTGATTTCTAATATAATAAAAACAAATAAAAAGTGACTCTATTTGTGGGGTTCCCATGTGAGCCAATATTTATATTGAGCCCTATCAACCTTAGATTTTATTTTATGTCATAAATGAAATTTGGAACCAAATAAGTTATTCCTGGTCTAATAGATCCATCTAAACACAATGTATCATTACCTGGAATTCAGATACAAATCCAAAACTAGAAATTCAAAGGAAATATGTACATATAATAATAATAATCTTGTTCACACACAAGTTCATAAACAAGTCTGTTTTCTTTTTGTGTGTGTGCTGCCTTTTTATAGACAGCTCAGTATCACTCACTGTGAAAATCTACAAAAACATTGGTTTGTATCCAGAAATTTTATTTGAAAGAGTTTTTTTTAAATAGAAATGAACATTAGATTAGTTCTCATTGCTTCATACTGCCTTCATATATCAAATCTTGTATACAGATACAGAGAAGTGTGCGTGTGTGTGTGTGTGTGTGTGTGTGTGTGTATAGCAGAAACCTACCATAAGGAAAGAACATATTCTGTGAACTGAGTAAAAACACACTGGTAAAGCATTCTTGGATAGTAAAGCTTATACCTTAAAAATATTTTATCAGTATTTAGTTCTGAAGGATCTCTTGTAAGACACCACAGTATCGGAAACTTTCAAACTTATCAACCTTGTAAGAAAGGGTTTAACATGTTTATTAAATCCTAGCTAACATAGTAGGCTTGCAACTTTATTTCTAAGTGCAAAGAGGTTCTTACCCTATGCCAATTGCATACTTGGTAAAACTTTAAATTTTTTAGCCTTTAAACAAATAGTATACAGTCTGTTCAAATTATACCTGTAAATTTGGCATTCTGAAACCTATAGTCACCGATTTAAATCTTCAGACTGTCCCCTGGAATCAGGTCTTCTTTTCTTCTGTTTAGATTTTTCACCAACCTAAATAATAAATTAATTAGTAGCCAACAATGGTAATATAAGCTAATAAAGAACAAAGACATTACATTGCATTGCAGCTCAAAATTTCACAAAGCTATTGCACATATTCAAAGACCTTCATGACACTGTTCTTGAGTCTTTTGAGTAACCTACAAAGGACTGAGGTTACTAGCAAAAGTGGTTATTATTTTAATGATACATCATTAATTTTCACCCTCCTATGTATACTCTTCCATCTTTAGGGTCAGAGTGCATGGTCAATGTAGCACTTCAGTTAAAATTATTGACACAATAAAATAATAATTTCATATAAATTTTCTAAGATTTATGGGAGCTTTAGTCACAGTCCTCTTCCAAACAATATTCCTTTTTGCTTTGGGTTTTCTAAAATTAAACAGTATATTTGGCAGAACCATCTTTGCAATTGGTGCTAAATGAAGTCAAATGCATGATAGGATAAGACTAAAAAGTCAATATTTGAACTGATAGAGAAGTGTGACTATGTTGTAAAGGAGCAGAGCATAATAGGCATTCATTAAAAATGTGATTTGATGAATGAATTAAATTACCACATGTAATGCGATCTATAGCCATTACAAAGCCAGATGTATTAGCTAATGTCTGAGCAAAAGGTAAACCACAAAAACATGCAGACTCATAGCATTTCATTCTTTCAAAGCATATTTCACTCACCAAAGGTTAACATTCCTTTCAGTGAGCTATATAGGCATGGCTGAAGCAATGAAAATGAAACACTAATAAGAAATGTGATATTTCTGCTTCTTAAGACTGTATAATAAAGATACAAGTAAAGCAGAACATTTGATTAGATACCCATGTGCCCCAGGCGGAGGTCATCACAGGCATGGAGAACACACATACCATTGACCCTCAGCATCTTCATGGAGAAGCTGAATGACATCTCCATTTTTAATCAGGAGGTCTTCTGAGCCTCTTTTTCTGCAATCTGTTAAGGCTTTATATTTGCCTGCTGACTGAAAGGTTGTTTTGAAAAATTACATTATAAACATGATTGCAAAACTACTTGCACAACTGCATGCTCTGTGACAAACAATTAGCACAGTACTTCAATGGTAAATGTGATAGCTGCAGCAGCTTAGCAGGAACAAACAAACATGAAGCAGTTTGTGATGGGGGAAAAAAGCGGAACATGTGCTTATTTAGCCTGAAGAACTCACTTTTATTTGCAAAAAGAGAGTTACACCATGAACTACACAGAAAATAACAGAGCACAACTAATTTAAGTTACATTAATCATAAGCATATATCCAGGAAAAAAAGAAAATTAAAATAATTTTAAAATACTGTTATTTGCAATCTGCTCTCATGAAAAATTTATCTTGGCACATACAAAAGGCAATTGCCCTGAACAAAGATTTGCTTATGCCCCCAAAAGGATTTCTAGGCTTTATACTGCTTGGCACAGGTAAAAATAATGGGTACAAAAATCTCTGGGTCCAATAGAAGCAGATTAAATGTTGTGCTTTACTTGACATTAATCTTTTTGCAGCTTTATATATTTTTTAAAGAATTAAGGTGTGTGTTCTTTATTTTACAGAGAGAGGAAGAGGGAGAAAGAGAGAAACATTAATGTGAGAGAAACATTGATCAGTCGCCTCCCATACACACCCCAACTGGGGATCAAGCCCACGACCTAGGTATATGCGCTGCCCAGGAATCAACCACCAACACTTCAGTGCACGAGACAATGCTCAACCAACTGAGCCACAGTGGCCAGGGGTGCAGCTATATTTTTAACTTGATTCATTAATAACCTAAGTAATCCAAGGCATACTGATTACATTTGGTTACAAAGCAGATTAAGAAGAAATAATATATCTCATGTCCAGATGTATTCCAAGATATTTCAAGCACAATATCTTACACATTGAATACATGATTTTAAAAAGGAAGAGGACCATAATTAAATTTTAAGGAAAGAAAAGAAATAACTGTGATGTCGAGTCTTTGCACATCCAAAGGAATTAACTTAAAAACAATATCCACATCACTTGGGATGAATGTCTTTTGAGCAGTATTTTTACCAAATGGGCTAAGGAGCAGACAGGAAAGAGCTACTTGATATTTAATAAAGTAGCTTCATAAAAATAGGAGAGCTAACCCCAATACCAGCTCTATGAGAAAAGCAGCACCCATTAGTTCTGACTTTTTTTCATTTTATAAAGTGAGGCTAAAAGAGAAGCTCATTGCAACCCATTTTGCTTTGGTGGAGCCTTCTTTTTTGTATGCATTTAACTATTTTTTGTATGATTTTCTCAGTAGCACACCTTAGGGAATTATTGGGAGAAGAGGGAAACTAATAGGTTTTTCTACATTTCCATCCCCTATGATTAAAGCACTAATCAGTTTTGCATATTTGCTTTATTTTCTGACACTATAGGTGGGGAAACGCTTATTGAAGATGTTATCAGTTCTTGAAAATCATCCCCTCATAGATTATCTACAGCAAATGTTTAAACCCCAAGTGGCTTCCCCTGACTTTTCACTTGCATCTGAACAACTACCATCCTTAAGCAGTATTAATTAAAGAAATGGAAGTTATTTTTATTATTAGTCTAAACCAGTGGTTCTCAGAGTTTAGGAGATAGACCTTTGGGGGTTCCTGACACCCTTCCAAGGGTTTGCAAGGTCAAATCCATATGAAGACATTATTTCCCTTTCACTCTTATCCTCTCACAAGTATACAGTAGTAGAGTTTTCTAATAACTACCTGATGTATGATAGCACAACAGACTGAATGCAAAAGCAGATTAAAGAGACTTGCAAAAATATTTTCTAACTAAATCTTGTGTTTTGGAAAATGTAAATTTTTAATAAAATGTTATTTAAATGAACTTACAATGGGTTTATTAATATTTTTAAAGAGTGAATAAATCACTATATTTCTTAGTTTCAATTTATAATCTGATAAATATCAATAAATGTAAACAAGGACTCTTTGGGATTCTCAATAATTTTTAAGAATGTAAAGGATTCTTACTTTAAAAAGTTTGAGCACTTATGGTCTAGACAATTAACTCTAGACAAATCTCCCAGCAACACTGAGCCTCAGTTTCCGCCTCTGTCCATTAGAGGTAATAAAGCCTGCCCTTACTCTTAATAATACTATGAATATTAAATGGGAAATATTGTAAACTGTAAACTACTGTACATCTATGATTATGGTCACTGTATTATTAGCAGAAAGAATATTCTGTTACTTTTTTGAAGAAAGCATTCAGGTCAATGCTCTTCAGCTTTGTGGTTATCCATGCCACTATTCCCATATCTCAATGTTAAAACTGCCAAACTGATTTTGTTGTTCTGAAGGTCATCAAGCAGCAGTCCATTACAAAGCATCATTCCAACCCTCCAAGCTGGTGACTTCAGAAAATTGGAGGTATACCCTAGTCCTAACATCCCTCTAATAATCCACTAGGATCGTAACAACATTGTAAACTACTTAAATAGCAAAAGTACGTACAACACTTACTTTTACCTTAAAGTAACCTCCTTTAGTTTTAGGGGGTGACCTCTTGCTCCAATATGCTGACATTTGGTATCATTAGCACATTTTTTAACAGCCCACTAAAATATATTCCCCAATGTTATTAATGTGTAATGTTTATTTCCTCTATTTTCCAATCTGGAATCTAAACTTATTTTTTTAAATTTCTTTATTGATTAAGGTATTACACATGTGTCCTTATCCTCCCATTACCCCCCATCCCCCCCCCCACTCATGTCCTCACCCCCCTGTTGTCTGTGTCCATTGGTTAGGCTTATATGCATGCAT